TCGTGCGTCAGAGAAATCGTTTCCTGGCTCGGGTTCGCAGACGTTATTTTTCGGCGGAGACGAGCGACAGGCGGCAATACGTCTGCGTTCGCAGGCTAATGACAGAAGGCTCTCCGTTATTTTCCTTCAAAACGATACTAAACTGTTCTCTTTTGCCGAAAGTTTTGCTTAAAAAGTCGAAGAAATGTCCCTGCAACATCTTTCTATCCTCAGTATGGAAGGAGACGAACCCGATGGTTTACAAAATCTTCCCCAATCGAAACGCCATTTTTTCGCTTTGTGAAACGAGCTGCGAGGCGCAGTTTAAACCGGATGTGACGTCACTTATTGTTGGATGATCCAGATACGCAAATTTCAGGAGTCTTCTACTCCGCCCCTGACTAACATAAATCTGCTAGCGTTTAATTACGAATGCCGTTCTCTGATTGGCTACGCTACTCGCTATCTATTTATTAATTAGATTATGAGCTCGAGATTTCTATGAGATGATAGTTGATGAGCCCGAAGGCCGAATCAACTATTACCTCATAGAAATCGAGAGCGAATAATCTGATTGTTTTAGTAGAATTCTAACTGAAATTAACACAAATAACGATTTTCAATTATTTTTCTACACATTATTGAACTTCACGCTTTAACAAAATTGCACGTATTGAATTATCCTTGGTAAAAGTGCAGTTGTTTACGCGCGCGCACCCGGTTTTTCAATAATTTCAATGTTTTTAAAATCAAGAAACCGTTGATTTGTACAGCACCGCAAATGATCTCTGATCGCAAATGATCCCCAGGCCGGAAATGATCCCCAAATTGGACTGCAACAGGAGCCATAATCGGGGACGGAGAACGTAAGCGCGCGCCATTTCTAATATTGGGGTTGTCCCCACGATATGGGACAATAATTCTATATTTAGAACAAATTGCGCCATCGCCTGCGGCACACGCGCGTACATGCTACGAGTATTTTTGCCTCAGCGAAAGTTGTGAACGGAAAAGTCAGATCAGTCACTTGGTATTCTGCATCTCAATTTTCTAAATCGTGTCTAATTTTCTCGCCTGCACGTTTGGTCATACCGTGAGTACTAGAGACTTTTCAAGTGCGGTTTCCGGTTTTGGTTAATCGCGCGAAATAAAAAAAAAACCTGTGATACCTAAGGTGCTCTTGTTATCGATTTTGAAAATCAGTAGCA